AAAACAAAAACTCGAATCGAAAAAGTTTCAAGTTGTACACATGAATAGAATTTTTTTCAGGGTTGCCTAAAGGCACTTTTGATGTCATTTTTATTTTTACAAATGGCACATATTACGCATGGCACTTTAATTTTATTATTATATTCGTAATCTTCATAAGTGAGTCCAAACTTGACGCATTTATCTTTCAACTTTTAATTTTAAGATATTTGTCAAGTTCATAAAAAATCCTTTAAAATGAGTCCGAACTCGACATATCTAACTTTAATATTAATGGAAATACAATCACTTCCGGTTTGAAACGTCAACGTCAATTTTGTCATATTTGTCATCTTCATTAAAAAACCTTTAAAATGAGTCCAAAGATGACACATTTATCTCAAAAATCAAAAAAGTTAGAATAAAAAAAACATTAAACCCGAAGTTAGCAACAATGAAGAAGCAATTTAATTTTTAAATATTAATACCAACATTAATTTTTTTACTTTTTTATGTTATATTTTTGTTTTTGTGACAAATATTAAGACATTTTCTAAAAATTAAGAATATATCAAAATGACATTGACATTTCAAACCGGAAGTTGCTTATATCTCGAGTAATATTGGAATTAAACGTATCATGTTTGGACTCATTTTAAAGGATTTTTCACGACGATTACAAATATGTCAAAATTGACTTTGACATTCTTAACCGGAAGTTGACCATAACTTCATTAATATTGAAGATAAATATGTCGTGTTTGTACTCATTTTAAAGGATTTTTAACAAAGATTACAAATATGTCAAAATTAAGGTTGACATTTCAAACCTGAAGTTAATTTCTTCTTTTTTTTTTATTTTTAACGTGTTTTTTGGTTTTTTTTGTTAGATATCACTATGTTGTATATTTTTGTTGCACTAAAACTAAATTTTCTAGTTCTAGGTCTAGTGTTAGTTCTAGTTTTAATTGTTATTAAGCGTTAAATTGTTGTCTATTTTTACTGAAATAAAACTAACATTAGACTTAGAACTAGAATCATTCGGGTTTAGCCGCACGTCTCTCAAGACGGCTAAGCCCGAATGATTCTAGTTTTAGGTCATGTGTTAGTTCTAATGATAGTGCTAGTGTAAAACCAGAACTAACACTAGATCGGGAACTAGAAACATTCGGGTTTAGCCTTGTAAAACAACGAAATTCATCAAATTTTCATATTTTCGCATTTTTCTCAATATCTATGCATCTCAGAGCAAAAGCGCAAGAGAGCAATATTGTTTAGTATAAAATTTGATGCAACTTTTATATTAAAAGTTTTTTTGTAATATGCTCCGATTCCCAAATCTTACCATTGACAACCAGTAAAACAACGAAATTCATCAAATTTTCATATTTTCGCATTTTTTTCAATATCTATGCATCTGAGAACAAAAGCGCAAGAGAGCAATATTGTTTAGAACAAAATTTTATACAACTTTTATATTAAAAGTTTTTTTGTAACAAACTCCGATTCCCAAGTCTTACCATTGATAGCTAGTAAAACAACGAAATTCATCAAANACGATCACTTCCGGTTTGAAACGTCAACGTCAATTTTGACATATTTGTCATCTTCATTAAAAAACCTTTAAAATGAGTCCAAAGATGACACATTTATCTCAAAAATCAAAAAAGTTAGAATAAAAAAACATTAAACCCGAAGTTGGCAACAATGAAGATAGCAATTTAATTTTTAAATATTAATACCAACCTTAATTTTTTACTTTTTTATGTTATATTTTTGTTTTTGTGACAAATATTAAGACATTTTCTAAAAATTAAGAATATATCAAAATGACATTGATATTTCAAACCGGAAGTTGCTTATAATATATCTCGAGTAATATTGGAATTAAACGTATCATGTTTGGACTCATTTTAAAGGATTTTTCACGACGATTACAAATATGTCAACATTGACTTTGACATTCTTAACCGGAAGTTGACCATAACTTCATTAATATTGAAGATAAATATGTCGTGTTTGTACTCATTTTAAAGGATTTTTAATGAAGATTACAAATATGTCAAAATTAAGGTTGACATTTCAAACCTGAAGTTAATTTCTTCTTTCTTTTTATTTTTAACGTGTTTTTTGGGTCATTTCACATTGATTAAAAAAACTGGATATGTTGTTAGATATCACTATGTTGTATATTTTTGTTGCACTAAAACTAAACTTTCTAGTTCTAGGTCTAGTGTTAGTTCTAGTTTTAATTGTTACTAAGCGTTAAATTGTTGTCTATTTTTACTGAAATAAAACTAAGATTAGACTTGGAACTAGAATCATTCGGGTTTAGACGCACGTCTCTCAAGACGGCTAAACCCGAATGATTCTAGTTTTAGGTCATGTGTTAGTTCTAATGATAGTGCTAACACCAGAACTAACACTAGATCGGGAACTAGAAACATTCGGGTTTAGCCTTGTAAAACAACGAAATTCATCAAATTTTCATATTTTCTCATTTTTCTCAATATCTATGCATCTGAGAGCAAAAGCGCAAGAGAGCAATATTGTTTAGAATAAAATTTGATGCAACTTTTATATTAAAAGTTTTTTTGTAACAAACTCCGATTCCCAAGTCTTACCATTGATAGCTAGTAAAACAACGAAATTCATCAAATTTTTATATTTTCGCATTTTTCTCAATATCTATGCATCTCAGAGCAAAAGCATAAGAGAGCAATATTATTTAGAATAAAATTTGCTACAACTTTTATATTAAAATTTTTTTTGTAACATGCTTCGATTCCCAAGTCTTACCATTGATAGCTAGTAAAACAACGAAATTCATCAAATTTTTATATTTTCGCATTTTTCTCAATATCTATGCATCTGAGAGCAAAAGTGCAAGAGAGCAATATTGTTTAGAACAAAATTTTATACAACTTTTATATTAAAAGTTTTTTTGTAACAAACTCCGATTCCCAAGTCTTACCATTGATAGCTAGTAAAACAACGAAATTCATCAAATTTTTATATTTTCGCATTTTTCTCAATATCTATGCATCTGAGAGCAAAAGCGCAAGAGAGCAATATTGTTTAGAATAAAATTTTATACAACTTTTATATTAAAAGTTTTTTTGTAACAAACTCCGATTCCCAAGTCTTACCATTGATAGCTAGTAAAACAACGAAATTCATCAAATTTTCATATTTTCGCATTATTTTCAATATCTATGCATCTGAGAGCAAAAGCGCAAGAGAGCAATATTGTTTAGAATAAAATTTGCAACAACTTTTATATTAAAATTTTTTTTGTAACATGCTCCGATTCCCGAATCTTATCATTGACAACCAGTAAAACAACGAAATTCATCAAATTCTTATATTTTCGCATTTTTTTCAATATCTATGCATCTGAGAGCAAAAGCGCAAGAGAGCAATATTGTTTAGAATAAAATTTTATACCAATTTTATAACAAACTCCGATTCCCAAGTCTTACCATTGATAGCTAGTAAAACAACGAAATTCATCAAATTTTTATATTTTCGCATTTTTTTCAATATCTATGCATCTGAGAGCAAAAGCGCAAGAGAGCAATATTGTTTAGAATAAAATTTGCGACAACTTTTATATTAAAAGTTTTTTTGTAACAAACTCCGATTCCCAAGTCTTACCATTGATAGCTAGTAAAACAACGAAATTCATCAAATTCTTATATTTTCGCATTTTTTTCAATATCTATGCATCTGAGAGCAAAAACGCAAGAGAGCAATATTGTTTAGAACAAAATTTTATACAACTTTTATATTAAAAGTTTTTTTGTAACAAACTCCGATTCCCAAGTCTTACCATTGATAGCTAGTAAAACAACGAAATTCATCAAATTTTTATATTTTCGCATTTTTTTCAATATCTATGCATCTGAGAGCAAAAGCGCAAGAGAGCAATATTGTTTAGAATAAAATTTTATACAACTTTTATATTAAAAGTTTTTTTGTAACAAACTCCGATTCCCAAGTCTTACCATTGATAGCTAGTAAAACAACGAAATTCATCAAATTTTCATATTTTCGCATTTTTTTCAATATCTATGCATCTGAGAGCAAAAGCGCAAGAGAGCAATATTGTTTAGAACAAAATTTTATACAACTTTTATATTAAAAGTTTTTTTGTAACAAACTCCGATTCCCAAGTCTTACCATTGATAGCTAGTAAAACAATGAAATTCATCAAATTTTCATATTTTCGCATTTTTCTCAATATCTATGCATCTGAGAGCAAACCCGCAAGAAAGTAATATTCTTTAGAATAAAATTTGATAAAACTTTCATTCAAAAAGTTTTTTTATGTCCCACATAAAATGTAACATAGCTTAATAGTACAGGCATTGGGTAGTTTTGCTAGATTCTGGTTCTATATCTAGTGTTAGTTATAGTTTTAACTCTTTATTTCTTGAGTTTAATAACACTTGTTTATTATTAAAATATTATTATTATACATTATATTGACATTTGTATATAGTAAGTATTTGTCGCCAGTGTGGCGATTTGGTAAATATTCTTATGGTGTTTATCTCTTTTTGGGAATATTCCCCAAAAAAGTCTTTTTAATGTATAAAATAAAAGGCGTATCTTACTTTAGTGCGCATTCCCCAAGAATAAGCCAATGTTCCTCAAGGAGGTTCGCCAAAGATCTGCGTGTTTTTGATGCGAGCGCCACGGTGGCGGCGACGGCGGTGGGAGTAAGCTTTAGGTGGTTAGCCGCGCGGCCAGCGAAGGGGTGGGACTCACCACCGTTCACCCTCAAAAACCGCCCTCGGATTGGCTGTGCAGGGCATCTCACTCCACCTTGTAAAAAACCACCCCGAATTCTCTTTCATTCACCATCTTTCTCGCACCCACCACGTGCTTATCTCCATCTCGCGTCTTCGAATCGTTGTTTCCTCGTCCAACACCATGTTAATTGTCGAAAAGAGTACCTGGTTTATAAAAGTTTTTCGAGTGGGGAGCTCCCCACCCCGCGCACCTATTTATTTCCGCATAAAAACTACCCCTCTGGTCCTCGTGTGTATAACGGAGAGTTGAGTCGTGTGCTGGTGGTGGGGGTCCTGAGCATGTTTAATATTGAGCGTACGAAAAAGTTTTATTCAGAACTGCTTCAAACTTTACAGTGTTAACACGTGCTTAAGACGTTAAATTCGGCGTGATTAAAAAATTCTTGTTTACTTTGTGCTTGTTTGTGCCAGTTCTTTATCTTAAATGCAGTTGACCAAAAACATCGAAGACATCATGGCCGATATGTACAACTCGATGCAAGCAACATTACAAGAATACCACGGCGAATTAGTCCAAACGGGATCTCCGGCTATTTTATGCAGCACTTTACCCAACCATTGGAGATCCAATAAAAGCTTACCGATTGCGTTTAAAGTGATAGCCTTAGACGATGTTCCCGATGGAACGATGGTTTCGATAAAAGCTGGAAACGATGAGAATTATTGTGCCGAATTAAGGAATTGCACCGCTGTCATGAAGAACCAAGTCGCTAAATTTAACGATTTAAGATTCGTCGGGAGGAGCGGACGTGGGAAATCTTTCACCATCACGATTGTTATTAACACGATGCCGTACCAAGTCGCCACGTACAATAAAGCCATAAAAGTTACAGTGGATGGACCGAGAGAACCAAGAACTAAGTCTGGTAAGTAAAAACAAAAATGTTTTATTTTTGTGTGTTTAACGCCTATTTTTTAACGACCAAAATGGTTTACCCCATTAGCCATGCTTTATAGCCTTGTTCACGATCGGCGGAATGTACACAACATTGGTGTATCTGGCGCCTAAAAATACATTTAACGGCTTTAATCCGAGAATAACAACTCAACCTATAAACAAAACCTTTAATTCCTCTTTTTTCTTTTTCACAGCGTACCAATACGGATTGGGATACCCACAAGGAAATTTCCCACCGTTTTTAGTCAACCCAGTTTGGTTCGACATCTCTTACATGTGCTCCGAATATTATAGAAGACCCATCGTTCCAAATTCACCACAAGAAGTCTTTTTACCCCCGACTCAATCATCCCCATCTTTTCAAATTCACCCGACAATCCCAAAAGTTACACCAAAAACCGTTTGGGAAAAAAAAGAAAATCCGATTTCGACGAATTTAGTGGATGATTCGAAATCGGATCAATCGGATAATGAGGAAGATATCGACGTGGTTCGATCCGCTTTTACCCCGATAAAACCGGCCAATGTTTTACTTCAAGAACTTCAAGTACCCGATTCGACCGTTCAAGATGCTAGTCCTGAAAAGACGAGTTTAAATCATTCGGATCAATCGAATAGTCCAAAAAGTGAAAGTAAATTGTCGAAATTATGCGGGGGGAGTGGCCCGAAAGAACCGAGTAGTTTAAAAAGTTCAAAACCGGTGTGGAGACCTTATTAAATAATTTAATTTTGTTTATCTTGTACATATTTGTACAAATTTATTATATTTGTAAATATCATTTTAACTTGTATTATAGAATCTTAGTTACTCTAGGAAACATTGTGATAGTTAGTTAATAATTGAAGCGTGACATAAATGGTGTAATTGTATTATTAAACGTGGGATTGATAATATAATTACAATATATTTAGGAAGTAATTAGATATTTTTATACGGCCCTGTAAATGTGTATTGTTTGACTTAAAAGAATTTTTTTTAAGACATTTTGGACAGAGCGAAAATATATATTTATCATTAATGAAATTTTTTTATTTCAATTTCTCTGATTTTCCTTTGGAATTTTTATCTCCAAAACAATTACGACTTAAGAAATGAAACTTTTTGAGGTTATAAAGAAACGCTTGAGGTTGGGTTATACCAAATTTTAAACTTCCAAAATCAATAATACACTTTATAAAAATTTTTGAAAATCGCAAATTAAAATTGACGTTTATTAAAGAAAAAATTGTTCTCTCCAAAACGACTAGGAATTAAGAAACGAAACTTTTTGAGGTTATAAATTAACGTTTGAAGTTACGTTATACCAAATTTGAACTTTCCAAGATCAACCATTCATGTGATATATATTTTTAAAAATCGCTTATTAAATTTGACATTTGTTAAAAGTAAGGTTAAAAAATAATTTTTTTCTGCAAAACAGTTAGGAATTAAGAAATGAAACTTTTTGAGGTTATAAAGTAATGTTTGAGGTTATCTCATATCAAATTTAAAGTTTCCAAGATGAGCCATTAATTTTATATATATTTTTAAAATATTTCATTTAAATTGACGTTTATTGAAAGTGAGGTTATACAAATAAATTAATTTCTCCTAAACGGCTTGGAATTAAAGAACGAACCTCATTGAGGTTATAAAAGAATGTTTGAGGTTATCTCATACCAAATTTAAAGTTTCCAAGATGAGCCATTCATTTTATATATATTTTCAAAAATCGCTTACTAAATTTGACATTTGTTAGAAGTAAGATTAAAAAATAATTTTTTTCTCCAAAACAGTTAGGAGTTAAGAAATGAAACTTTTTGAGGTTATAAAGGAGTGTTTGAGGTTATCTCATACCAAATTTAAAGTTTCCAGGATGAGCCATTAATTTTATATACATTTTTAAAATATCTCATTTAAATTGACGTTTATTGAAAGTGAGGTTATACAAATAAATTAATTTCTCCTAAACGGCTTGGAATTAAGGAACGAACCTCATTGAGGTTATAAAAGAATGTTTGAGGTTATCTCATACCAAATTTAAAGTTTCCAAGATGAGCCATTCATTTTATATATATTTTTAAAAATCGCTTACTAAATTTGACATTTGTTAGAAGTAAGGTTAAAAAATAATTTTTTTCTCCAAAACAGTTAGGACTTAAGAAATGAAACTTTTTGAGGTTATAAAGGAATGTTTGAGGTTATCTCATACCAAATTTAAAGTTTCCAGGATGAGCCATTCATTTTATATATATTTTTAAAAATCGCTGATTAAATTTGACAGTTATTAGAAGTAAGGTTAAAAAATAATTTTTTTCTCCAAAACAGTTAGGACTTAAGAAATGAAACTTTTTGAGGTTATAAAGGAATGTTTGAGGTTATCTCATACCAAATTTAAAGTTTCCAGGATGAGCCATTCATTTTATATAATTTTTTAAAGTATCTGATTTAAATTGACGTTTATTGAAAGTAAGGTTATACAAAAAAATTAATTTCTCCAAAACGGCTTGAAATTAAGGAACTAACCTCTTTGAGGTTACAAAGGAATGTTTGAGGTTATCTCATACTAAATTTAAAGTTTCTAGGAAGAGCCATTCATTTTATATATATTTTTAAAAATCGCTTATTAATTTTGACATTTGTTAGAAGTAAGGTTAAAAAATAATTTTTTTCTCTAAAACAGTTCGGATATAAGAAATGAAACTTTTTGAGGTTATAAAGGAACGTTTGAGGTTATCTCATACCAAATTTAAAATTTCCAAGATGAGCCGTTCATTTTATATAATTTTTTAAAGTATCTGATTTAAATTGAAAGTAAGGATATACAAAAAAATTAATTTCTCCTAAACGGCTTGGAATTAAGAAACGAAGTTCTTTGAGGTTATAAAGGAATGTTTGAGGTTATCTCATACCAAATTTAAAGTTTCCAGGATGAGCCATTAATTTTATATATATTTTTAAAATATTTCATTTAAATTGACGTTTATTGAAAGTGAGGTTATACAAATAAATTAATTTCTCCTAAACGGCTTGGAATTAAAGAACGAACCTCATTGAGGTTATAAAAGAATGTTTGAGGTTATCTCATACCAAATTTAAAGTTTCCAAGATGAGCCATTCATTTTATATATATTTTCAAAAATCGCTTACTAAATTTGACATTTGTTAGAAGTAAGATTAAAAAATAATTTTTTTCTCCAAAACAGTTAGGAGTTAAGAAATGAAACTTTTTGAGGTTATAAAGGAGTGTTTGAGGTTATCTCATACCAAATTTAAAGTTTCCAGGATGAGCCATTAATTTTATATACATTTTTAAAATATCTCATTTAAATTGACGTTTATTGAAAGTGAGGTTATACAAATAAATTAATTTCTCCTAAACGGCTTGGAATTAAGGAACGAACCTCATTGAGGTTATAAAAGAATGTTTGAGGTTATCTCATACCAAATTTAAAGTTTCCAAGATGAGCCATTCATTTTATATATATTTTNTGAAAGTAAGGATATACAAAAAAATTAATTTCTCCTAAACGGCTTGGAATTAAGAAACGAAGTTCTTTGAGGTTATAAAGGAATGTTTGAGGTTATCTCATACTAAATTTAAAGTTTCTACGAAGAGCTATTCATTTTATATATTTTTTTTAAAATCGCTTATTAATTTTGACATTTGTTAGAAGTAAGGTTAAAAAATAATTTTTTTCTCTAAAACAGTTATGAATTAAGAAATGAAACTTTTTGAGGTTATAAAGGAATATTTGAGATTATCTCATACTAAATTGCTTATTAAATTTGAACCATCCTTTGATAGTTTGATCCCCAGATATCTAAAATCTGCTTTTTGGAAGGACTTATTATTGCAGATGCTTGAAGAGTTGATCGACATTCCAATNTTGGAATTAAGGAACGAACCTCATTGAGGTTATAAAAGAATGTTTGAGGTTATCTCATACCAAATTTAAAGTTTCCAAGATGAGCCATTCATTTTACATATATTTTTAAAAATCGCTTATTAAATTTGACATTTGTTAGAAGTAAGGTTAAAAAATAATTTTTTTCTCCAAAACAGTGAGGAGTTAAGAAATGCAACTTTTTGAGGTTATAAAGGAATGTTTGAGGTTATCTCATACCAAATTTAAAGTTTCCAAGATGAGCCATTCATTTTATATATATTTTTAAAAATATCTGATATAAATTGAAGTTTATTAAATGTGAGGTTACACAAAATAATTAATTTCTCCTAAACGGCTTGGAATTAAGGAACGAATCTTTTTGAGGTTATAAAGAAATATTTGAAGTTATCTCATACCAAATTTAAAATTTCCAGAATGAGCCATTCATTTTATATATATTTTTAAAATCGCTTATTAAATTTGACATTTGTTAGAAGTAAGGTTAAAAAATAATTTTTTTCTCCAAAACAGTTAGGAGTTAAGAAATGCAACTTTTTGAGGTTATAAAGGAATGTTTGAGGTTATCTCATACCAAATTTAAAGTTTCCAGGATGAGCCATTAATTTGATACATATTTTTAAAAATATCTCATTTAAATTGACGTTTATTGAAAGTGAGGTTATACCAATAAATTTATTTCGCCTAAACGGCTTGGAATTAAGGAACGAACCTCATTGAGGTTATAAAAGAATGTTTGAGGTTATCTCATACCAAATTTAAAGTTTCCAAGATGAGCCATTCATTTTATATATATTTTTAAAAATCGCTGATTAAATTTGACAGTTATTAGAAGTAAGGTTAAAAAATAATTTTTTTCTCCAAAACAGTTAGGACTTAAGAAATGAAATTTTTTGACGTTATAAAGGAATGTTTGAGGTTATCTCATACCAAATTTAAAGTTTCCAAGATGAGCCATTAATTTTATATATATTTTTAAAATATTTCATTTAAATTGATGTTGATTGAAAGTGAGGTTATACAAAAAAATTAATTTCTTCTAAACGGCTTGGAATTAAGGAACGAACCTCATTGAGGTTATAAAAGAATGTTTGAGGTTATCTCATACCAAATTTAAAGTTTCCAGGATGAGCCATTAATTGTATATATATTTTTAAAAATATCTCATTTAAATTGACGTTTATTGAATGTAAGGTTATACAAAAAAATTAATTTCTCCTAAACGGCTTGGAATTAAGGAACGAACCTCAATGAGGTTATAAAAGAATGTTTGAGGTTATCTCATACCAAACTTAAAGTTTCCAAGATGAGCCATTCATTTTATATATATTTTTAGAAATTGCTGATTAAATTTGACAGTTATTAGAAGTAAAGTTAAAAAATAATTTTTTTCTCCAAAACAGTTAGGACCTAAGAAATGAAACTTTTTGAGGTTATAAAGGAATATTTGAGATTATCTCATACTAAATTGCTTATTAAATTTGAACCATCCTTTGATAGTTTGATCCCCAGATATCTAAAATCTGCTTTTTGGAAGGACTTATTATTGCAGATGCTTGAAGAGTTGATCGACATTCCAATCCTTGTGTTACTTTGAATTGGATCGGTTGGTCATCTGATTCTGCATTCTGACATATTATTATGCTGGTTAATTTTATGTGTATTCTGAGTTCGTTTATAAATTCAACCCAATATGGTGATATTTCTTATATTGGTTGATATTAATCTTTTAAGCCCAATTCCAGATGTCAGCTTAAGAATCAGCAAATGTTATCTTTGAAATCATCTGCCACAACAATTTTCTTTTTGGTCTCTCAGGTTGTATCTCTTTACCAAGCATAATTTAATATAGATCAGTTTTTATAAAACAAATATTAACATATTTTTGACATAACGAATTCTTGATGATTTCATTTTTAAAGAAAAATCTCCCGCCGTACAATTGTGCCAACATCTCCGCATGATTCGTCGATTAAACTCTCTCTCTTTTTTTACTTCGGGTGCTATGCCCCCTCAGGGGCAAAGTTTTGATACTTGTGCAGCGAGTCGTGTCGGCATAAAAGGGCTGGAATAAACACCGCCTGTGACAGGAGCGCATTAATCATAAGCGCTCGAGCCCTCGAGG